CCCCCCCCCCCAGGCCGCTCACGCCGCCGCCGCCGCCCCGTCGTACCCCCGGTACACGCGGGAGGAGGTGGGGCGGCACCGGAGCCCCGAGGAGCGCGTCTGGGTGACCCACGGCACCGACGTGTTCGACGTCACCGACTTCGTGGAGCTGCACCCGGGGGGGCCCGACAAAATCATGCTGGCGGCCGGAGGGGCTCTGGAGCCCTTCTGGGCGCTGTATGCGGTGCACGGAGAACCGCACGTCCTGGAGCTGCTGCAGCAATACAAGGTGGGCGAGCTCAGCCCCGACGAGGCACCGCCGGCCCCCGACGCCCAGGACCCCTTCGCCGGCGACCCCCCCCGCCACCCCGGGCTGCGCGTCAACAGCCAGAAGCCGTTCAACGCGGAGCCGCCGGCCGAGCTGCTGGCCGAGCGCTTCCTGACGCCCAACGAGCTTTTCTTCACCCGCAACCACCTCCCGGTTCCGGCGGTGGAGCCGAGCTCCTACCGGCTGCGGGTGGACGGTCCCGGCGGCCGCACGCTGTCGCTGTCTCTGGACGAGCTGCGGAGCCGCTTCCCCAAACACGAAGTGACGGCGACCCTGCAGTGCGCCGGGAACCGCCGCGCCGAGATGAGCCGCGTGCGGCCCGTCAAAGGGCTGCCGTGGGACATCGGTGCCATCAGCACGGCGCGGTGGGGCGGAGCGAGGCTGCGGGACGTCCTGCTGCACGCCGGCTTCCCCGAGGAGCGCGAGGGCGAGTGGCACGTCTGCTTCGAAGGGTTGGATGCCGACCCCGGGGGGGCTCCGTACGGAGCGTCCATCCCTTACGGCCGTGCGCTCAGCCCCGCCGCGGACGTGCTGCTGGCTTACGAGATGAACGGCACCGAGCTGCCCCGCGACCACGGCTTCCCGCTCCGCGTGGTGGTGCCCGGCGTGGTGGGCGCACGCAGCGTCAAGTGGCTGCGACGCGTGGCCGTGAGCCCGGCCGAGAGCCCCAGCCACTGGCAGCAGAACGACTACAAGGGCTTCTCCCCCTGCGTGGATTGGGACACGGTGGATTACCGCACGGCGCCCGCCATCCAGGAGCTGCCGGTGCAGTCGGCCGTCACCCAGCCGCGGCCCGGAGCCGCGGTGCCACCGGGGGAGCTGACGGTGAAGGGTTACGCGTGGAGCGGGGGGGGGCGAGAGGTGGTGCGCGTGGACGTCTCGCTGGACGGCGGGCGCACGTGGAACGTGGCGCGGCTGGCGGGAGAGAAGGCCGCACCGGGACGGGCGTGGGCGTGGGCGCTGTGGGAGCTGACGGTGCCGGTGGCGGCGGGGACGGAGCTGGAGATCGTCTGCAAAGCGGTGGACGGCAGCTACAACGTGCAGCCCGACAGCGTGGCGCCCATCTGGAACCTGCGGGGGGTGCTGAGCAACGCCTGGCATCGCGTCCGCGTCTCTGTGCAGGGCTGATGGCCGCGTGGCACCGTCGTCCCACGGCAGCGTCGCCCCCGCGGCTCCGTCACCCCGTGGAGGCGGCCGTGCCGCTGCTGGCACGAAGGTCGCCGCTTTACGGCCCCTGAAAGTGAAAAGTGTGAAAGCGGCTCCATAAAGATTGCGCAGCTTTTATGGACTCGGTGCTTCCTGGGGCAGCGCCGGGGCAGCCCAGACTGCGGTGGTGGCGGGGATCCCCGTTGCTCCGGGGCGGCCCTATGAGGCTCCCCGTGGGACCCCGCGACCCCATGGGGCCCCGCATCGCCCCCCGTGACCCCCAGTGACCCCGCGTCACCCTCCATCCCTACGGGACTCCCCGTGTCCCCGCGTGACCCCGTGACCCCGCGGGACCCTCAGCCTCTCCCTGAGCCCCTCGTTGTCCCCGTGTCGCCCCCCGCTCCCGTAGGCCCCCCCGCACCTCTCGGAGCCCCCCGCCGTGACTCAACGGGACCCGCACGTCCCTCGGGCCCCTCGGCGTCCCCGTGTCCCCTCATCCCCCGGGGCCGTTTGTCCCTCCGTTACCCCC